CATTCGGCATACTCAATGTTCGAATCATTCAATTTCACTAGCATAAACAATATGTTATGCCCCGAAAATGACGCGAGATTTATAACTTTCTTGACTTTATCGCAAAAGAGCGGCAGTTAGTTAGATAACTTGAGGTAATCGTGATACTAGGTATAATGAGTAGTAATGGGAGATAGTAATTTAGGACCGTTAGCATAATACACGTATTTGGTAATTAAAGGAAATTTATCTGATATGCGATCCTTTGGTGCTTTGTGGAAGTTTTAAACAATGGTTTTTGAAGGGTCAGTAAAGCAAATTGGTTTAAGATCAAGTTGGTGGGCAATGGACGTACTTTGTAACTGGGAGCGAGTCAATCCATGTACAACCTCTTTGAATGATAAGATTAGTCCCAAGGCTTAAATCCTCATTCTGTGTATATTGACTTTAGACACTGACATAGGTGCACAATAAAATAAATTAGCACAATAAAATATTTCAGAAAACAAAATCTGGAGTATGTTGCATATGTTGTATGTTGTATATTTGTCCATGGGTATGTGCGCTGGAAAAAAAAAACTCTGGTATACTTGAAAAAGCATACTCCAGGACATATCCTGGATAATTATCCCTCGCCAGACAAGCTTTAAATTGAATATCGTAGTGTACCTAAAAAAAAAAGTACAATATTGTTTTGACCGTCACGGTATCTCAGTCGGTAGATCGCTCGCTTCGTGATCTGGAGGTCGTGGGTTCGAGCCACGGCCGCGACTGCCTAAGTCGATAAAAAGTAGGTAGCAACTGTTCCTTCGCCAAGCGCTCGGCACTTTGAAATGAAAGTTGCGGGTCCTTCGGATGAGACCTTAAAAACCGAGGCCCCGTGTCACGGCAGGCGTTGGCACGATAAAGATCCCTCACTGCTCAATGGCCCTGAGTGCCGAGTAAAGGTCTAAGTTTGAAGCCCTTCATGGTGACGTCTCTTTATGAGTGAAAAATTGTCGAATGGGACGTAAAACAACATACAATCAATCAATCAATATTGTTTTGACTAACACATTATTAACTCTTTGGTTTTGATTTTTCTTCTACACTAGTAAAGATCTTAGCTCCAAGAATGCAATTTCATATCAACCTATGAAATCTTTGATAATCGTAAAAAGATTCATATATAATTTCTATTAAACTGCTTATTCGACAAGCTTAGTTCCCCTGTCTCTTCGCGCATATTAGCAGACTAGCCATTCCAATGTAGCCTGATAAGCAAAAACTGAATTTGAGCAAGTTGATTGATTGAATAATCAATTTGTGAATTTTCATTTCCTTTTTAAAGCATCAATATGAAGGTCAAGACATACTGAGCAAGTAGTGGGTGCTGCTTGTCCAAGTGAGACTCCTGACCAATCACTTTGTTAATCTGCCTTTCACAATGTCAAATAGTTGAACTAAATATCTCAAATAAATCGATCCAAGGAGATAATGAACCAATTTAATTTTAAACAAGCCAACTATTTCAAAAACTACCAGGTAATTTGAAATATGCCCCCCAAAAGAAAATCATCTAGCCAATCATAGTTTCGCTCAGAATGTAATCTAATACCTGCAATTAATTGTAGCTAGATTAGGATATATATCATTTGCCAATTATTGCACTTTTATATCTAGTTTTAGAAAACTCCAACATTTCCTAGTTATTTCATTTTTGCAAATCTTTAATTACTGTCCTAATTAATTACTGGGGAAGTGATTAGGTCATGCCTTGATGGAAAGGAATCTTTAAGTATGCCCACTGCAGCTGTTGACTCACTCCCAAAGCTGTCTTTGTTTGTTAAAAAAATGTTGGCCTGGGTTTTTTTAGTAATGTAGCTGAAAATACTAGTAATTAATCATGGTAATATATATCTATGATCACTATCAATTACTAAAGCTTTTTTTTTTCTTGTACTTTATGCCTTTTGTACCAGTATAATTTGCTCCTTGCTGTGCCTGAATCCTGCAAATTTTGCATAGTACCTATTCTAAGGCATATGAGTAATAAATTTCCAAAGCTTTTTTGCGGTTTGACTGCTCACTGTGACACAAATGCTCGCAAAATTAAGAAATGTCTTCATCCTATTTCAATAAATTTTTATTTGGCCATTCATTAGTTGGATTTTTTATGCAGTTATTGACCAGGTGGACCACATGAGATACCATGGGTTCTGTAACAGAATAAACAAATTCGCCCTCCCCTCCCAAATTATCAGTTCAAAACAATATCACCTACAAAAAAACTAAGACCTTTTTGTTATCTTGGTAACATGTTTTATATAAATGCCAGGATAACATGTAGAAAAAAAGGAAAAGATAACAAACAGTATTGTTCCAAACTTTTTCAACAGACCACAGGACTTTGGATCGCTTAAATCCGCCTTAAAAAAATTGGGGTGTATAAAAAAGGTAAGGGTGTGGAACTTCTTACATAGGGTACCCACTTTTGCTAATAAAATACTTTTAAATCGAATGCTCTTGAGTTTTACTTTCTATTCATATCTATTTATATATAATCAATCTACATTACTAGCAAAGTTCATACAAAAATTCCATGTACTTCCCGAGATATGGTGAAATCAATTTCAAAATTGACCTACTTTTTTTATTCGGCATTAGCTCGGGCCCTGGTTATTCACATACATGTATACAGATGGTGTTTGAACTGCAGCGAACAGCTGCTTAGTGATTGCACAATCTTTCAACATTTTAAAGTTGATTTTTTACTCCAGATCGTAAGGTTAAGTCAGTAATAATTCCTTTGGCGAAATTTTTTTTAGAAAACTTTTGCTTCAACAACTTCACAGCCATGTTGTTTATTAATGTAAAAAGAACTATAATTGAACGAAATTTTCCCGGAATGTACAATATACCTTTTGATTTTTTTTTTAAATTATACCGCTAAAATATTGTTGATAACTTCGTACGACCATATGATCAAATCAGATAAAATTTTGTAGAGACTGGGTGCTAAAAAACAAATATTCAGAGAGTATAGAATAAATTCCGGGAAGAATTCGCCCCGTCGTTCCCGCTTTGCAATAAATGCAACTATTCAGAGGCCCAAGCTAATGTCGAGTAAAAAAAGAAGGTCAAATTTGGGATATGATCTCAGCATATCTCGGGAAGTATATGGAATTTCGGATAGAACTTTGGTAGTAACGTAGATTGTTTATATTTGAATAGTTAGAATAGAAAGTAAAGTTTTAGTTTTTATTTGATTTAAAGTATTTTATTGGTGAATGTGGATACCCTATGAAAGGAGTTCTATACCTTTTTTTTACCATCTTAATTTTTTTAAAGTGATCTAAGGGCTTTTGATTAGGCCAAATCCAAAGTCAAACTTCGCCATCGGTACGTCTAATTTGCTTTGAAACTACAAACCTCAATAGTTATATTGAAAACAAACTTATTTAGTTTCAAAATTTTAAACATTGCCCCAATTAAACTTCCTAAAATACCGTTTCATCGTTTCTTCGAGAAAGGAGGTAGAAAACAACTTATTATTAGACTATATACAAATGGACCTACATTATCCGGAAAGATAGCTTGTGACGAAGGGTGACTATTTATATATCCGAATGTACTTAAATTATCCGGTATAGACACAGGTCCTTCGATCGCTATGCATAAATTATCCTACGTTTCCAACTATCGTTGATATCCCTGGCATACTCTACTAACTAGACAGTGATTCCTTATATTTCCATTGCATTGTGAAATAAAATTATAAATTTAGATTTTAAATTTGTAGCCTAATAGATTTAAATTACACGAGGTCTCCCATGTCAATTTAATAGTCCGCGCCCCGTGACGTCAAACACAAAGACAGCCGCACGAGATTTACATGCATATTCGACCTCCTTAGCTCCTGGCATATCGCTTGGCGAAATTTGCATTCCGGTAGAATGATCAAGAAATCATGTCAACTAACTTTCAAAAGAGTTATCACAGAGAAAACAGAAATGGATATATATATATATATATATATATATATATATATATATATATATATATATATATATATATATATATATATATATATATATATATATATATATATATATATATATATATAATGTAATATAATAAAATAATATAATATAATATTTGACGTATAGACTCAATTTTTCTTACTGCCTTTGGATTATGGCACAATCCCTCCAATGTGACAAATGACAAGGTTTGATGATTTTGTGCGATATGATCCATGTACAATTTTACTTTGTATTGCTGTAAACTGACTACAAATCAATTTTTTTAAAAAAATATTTAGACAAAGAAAATGACAGCACAATGAATGATGAAAACGTTATCACTGATTTTTTTTTTATTGTTCAAAGGTTAAAGGCATACAAAGTTGGTATAACTGGTAATTCATTTTTTGAAATAATAAAAAAAAGAAAAGAAAACCAATATATTATAATTAAAATACAGACAGTGAATGATTTTTAAATAGTTCATAAGGTCATAATGATTGTAATTTGCATGTTTAAAAGCAGTTCATATAAAACACAATAGAAAGTTACCTTTATTAATCATAATCAATCATAATATGGGAATAATTCAATGCATCGTCTCAAGCCACGGTCCGGAGTCTGCCCATACCTCTCTCCAGAATGGTAGAGGCTCTCTCATTACTCATACTGATTTTTTACAGACAGAAAGTAACTACTTTCATTAACTATTATGAATATACCTACAAACATGAATAAAAGATTCAGCACTTTTTATTAGGTACAAGATGAATTAGATGTCCATGAGTTTTACAAGAACAAGCACTCAGGTGGAACAAAGATGAAATGACAAAACATATTTGGTTTACTATGAGGAAAATGTAGATTGACGTATTACTAAATACATAGTTCTTACAATTAAGGTATATTTTACTGTAACACTTTTTTTAAGTTCAACTTCATATATCAAAAGCGGATAAATATCAATTCTAGTTCTTCTTTCCAATCAATATTAATTTGAAATAGTAATCAGCAAGGTTAAGGAACCCAAGCCTTTCGTTGTTCCTTTTTCTTTTTCACTGGAGGAAAATTATCGGCAGTCTCTAAACACTTTTTCTGTTCATATTCATCCAATAATGTTTTGAAAATGTCATCACATTTCAGGAGTTTTTTGTTTCCTGTTAGATTAAAAAGGATCACATTTTATAAGGCTTGTTGAGGCCAAAAAGAATCTGACAATTTTTCGTCTACGATCTATGAGGCATTCATCTTACTTCAGACATTGCTATGCAAATGTTCAAAAGGAGTACACAAAAGAAAAATTTACTGTACGTATACTTACCAATCATAATTAGACCTTTTCTTGCTCTTGTAAGTGCAACATTTATTTGATGGTAATCTATGATGAAGCCCAAGTTTTCTTTGCACCATCCTTTTGTAGGATGAGGTTCGATTCGGTATTCTGGTAAGGACCTTACAAGACTAAATATAACATAGTCCCATTCCCCACCTGTTGTAGTCAAGATATACGATTAATATACTAAAAAACCAGAAGCCTCTGATGAGACTGTAGCTCTACTGGTTTGAACTTATAACAAAGGAAAAGTTGCACTTGGACTTGAAACTTTGCAACAGTAATAAATAGAATAATGATCCTTGGTTTAGTCTCTTTTTGTAGGAAGATTTATTGCAATCAGAATAAAACTGTAGGAGGAGTAGTCTTTTAAAATAATTTTACAGAAATATTGATTTTAGTAACCATGGCAACATCATTCATTGAAATAAAAAAACTGATAAATACAAGTATTTATCTCAATGTAGTCTAATTGCATGCCAGGTTATATTAAAACCAAACCAAACTGTAGGAATATAAGTGTTTTGAAAGTATTTCACAGAAATTTCTTTTTACAGTAACCATGGCAACACCGTTCATTGAAATTAAAAAAAATATAACAGAATTATGCATTTCAATGTTGTCTAATTGTGTGTCAAGTTATTTTGAAATCAGACCAAAACTGTAGGAGGGGTAGCTTTTTGAAAGTATTTCATAGAAATTTCTACTTTTAGTAACCATGGCAACACCATTCATCGAAATAAAAAAAAACGATATACAGAATTATGCATCTTACTATAGTCTTCTTGTGTGCCACTTTATATTAAAATCAGACGAAAATCGTTGGAGGAGTAGCGTTTTGAAAGTATTGCATAGAAATTTCTATTTTTAGTAACCATGGCAACACTATTCATCGAAATAAAAAAAACGATACACAAAATTATGTTCATGTATCTTAGTGCAGTCTACATGTGTAATACTGATTTTAGACCAAAAACCGTAGGAGGAGTAACCATGGCAACACCGTTCATTGAAATCAAAAACTGTTATATAGAATTATGCATCTTGGTGTAGTCTACTTGTGTTCCAAGTCATATTGAAATCAGACCAAAACTGTAGGAGGAGTAGCATTTTGGAAAAAAAAAAGTTTACAGACGGACGGACAGACAGACAGACAGACAGCTAGACGGACGGACACCTTACTATCGCAAAAGTTCTTCTAGTTTCTGACCAGTTGTGCTAAAAATCATCAAATTTATTATCTATGCGCTCAGCCACACCTTACCGGATAGCGCTAACGGACGTCAAACGGATGACAATTTTTTTAATCCTTTTATCGCCGTTCGCGTGTTTCTTGTCCGATTCTTATTCTGTGAATGCGTTCTATATCCGGAGAGTTCCAGCCAGCATGACCGCTCATCTAACGTTTTGTCATATTCTCTTGCGATGTGCATTCATTTTACACGTTACTGATTCGGTACTGAAACGGGTAAAATTAGTTAGTTGACCGTGGCCTGTGCAGTACATATCTGATAATCGATCAGTTTTTGTGCGTTTTTTACGCTTCATACGTTGATTGCAAGAGCCTTGAAAAATGCAAGGCACGAATTTCATAAATGCAATACCCACGAGTTACGTTCTGTCACCCCTTTTCACCTGTTTGACGTACGATGGTGCTATCCAGCAAAGTGTGACTGAGCCCTATAATGTAGAACTATTACTTTTTATAAGTGCTTGTTCAGATGCCAGGTATATAGAGTGCTCTTGATAGAAAATAAACTTTATTGTACAGATGAGCATAGGTTTTAACTCCTAATCAAGGAAACCATACAATAAAAGATTATTTTCAAATCCCTAGCTAGAAAGTTAGATCTTACCTTGACTTGCCACAACTGTATTGACTTGTGGAACATATCTCTTCAGTCTCTCTTTGATTTTACTGCACTGTGCATTATACTGTGACATGATGTAGATATTTTCAGGACTTATTCCTTCCTGTTTCAGCAAATGCTGATACACCTTTTCCTATAAAGATATTATCAATAATACTTAGATTTCATGCTCAGTTTATAAACTGGATAATATGTGCATTCACTGGATCAGTATTGGCCAAAAGAAATTGATGAAGATCATAGACACGGTAAAAATATGAAAATGAAATAAACTGCATGTATTCTGTACAGAGTAAAATGTTTAAGGATATTCACAGTAACTCAGCGTTCAATCGGTCTTTCTAATCATCTCTAGCAACTAAAAAACTTTACGAAATTTGAAAAAAAAAAAAAAGCTGCTCAGCGTGTTCAACAAATTCAAACACTTTCTCACCCTAGTGGCAGAGATGATTGTCTGTCACAAATTTTGCATTTGTTCTTTGGAATAAAGTCAGACTTTAAATAAAGTCAACAATGGTTTTTAAGGGATAATAATATCACATGTTACCCTGAATAAACATGTTACACTTTTTGTTATGCTAAATGTATTTAGAATGCATCTAAAGGAAAGCGTCAAGGTGAAGCGTGCGCGCAAACATCCTCCGCAAGTTAATTTTTTTTATTGTTACCTGCCATCATACATTTTAACGGTTACCCGGAATGTGTGGTTTATGCACGCGGAATGGTAATAGTACTTTTTAACAAATGTTTTTAAAACAATCAAATTTAACTTTTTAACATGAAAGCATAACGATACCAATTACCAATGGTTGTAAAAATATTATAGTCCAATAAAAATTGTCACAATCATTTAAAACTTCAATATGTTGTTGTTCATGGTCTTCTGGTTTGTTGAGATCACAAAGATCGCAGTAGTTACAGTTTGGGAAGGAGAAGACATCTGTTTTCGTTTAGAAAACTACATTTAACATTCATCAATAACACTTTCTTCGATCAGTAAGGTACTTCAGTTTTTGTCAAACATTTCACTTGTTTTATTGATACTTTCGACAAATGACTTTACAAATGTAATTATTTTGTTATTCATTATTTTCATGAACCCTTTTATACTCTTTGCTTAAGTCGCATTTAAAGAATTTAGGGGACATTTGATTTAATATAAGTCGGTTGTTTTAATTTAGGTAAAGGATTCTAAATTTCAAGTACAGCCGGAGCACTGAATTCATGCAGTCATAGGACGGTTTTGATATCATCATCTTCAAACGTACAAATGTACATCAAATTCTCAGGGAAAAATCCCGAGACAAAACGACATCAATTAAGTTAATTTATCATATGTTTTCCCTATCTTATTATTAATCAAAATATTTAGTGAATTGACATAATGCAAAGTCATTATGAAAAGACAATCTAACCATAAAGTTAGTAATGTAAGATTTACCACTTGATCAATTTCGGCATTATTGAATTTAGACATCTCATTGCCTTCTTCAGTCGTGTTTGAAAGGTACTCCTCCTGGCCTTCTATATGACAGAAAACTAAAGGGTTCTTTGGATCCCGCCACAAACTAAGTGGCTGTTGCATCTTCCATTTCTCGAGATCTTTTGTTCTTAGCTTTTTATCGTAAAATGTGTTGGATGGGAAGCGGCAAAGGCTGGGGTGCTAAAAATTGAAGATATTAAATTGTTATTTTTTAAAGCACGCTTACATCAAATAGCCAAAAAGAACAAGTGTTATTCTTATAACATAGCATAAGTTAATTACCATTCTGTATTGATCGGTTAGAAGTGTGAGTACTTCTCCAGAAGTTTGTGATTCGGCATAGCGCTCAAACATGGACTTTTGAAGTCCCAGTGCTGCCGCTTCCTGACATATGACAACTGGTTGGAGCTGTTTATGGTCACCTATCAAAACAACTTGCTTTGCTTGTGTAGCCACGATAGCTGATAAACATTCCGGTTCTGTACACATGCCTGCTTCATCAATCAACAGCTGGTAAATTGATTTGGCTGTGGCATGCAGGAGTCTTGAACTTGTAACAACTGCAGTTGTGCACAAAATGACATCATATTTGGGTATTTCTTCCTGTACAGCTTTGTTAATGTATTTTTTGTAATCTTTGATGTCTTGATAATCTATTTCTTTTCCTTGTTTGAATTTTTTGTCAAAGTCTCTTATCTTTTCAGCATATTTATTACCGGATTTTCGGATTAAATTATGTAAAGTAACATCATTAAGGGACTCATCTGGTGCAGACTCGCTCTTTCTTTTTGAAAACACTTTGCCTGGTATGGGAAATGCTTTACACTCTAAGGAACTGCCGTACATTCGAAGAATATTTAATTCTGGAGGACAACTTCTTTTTAAGTAAACTGAAAAAAAGTAAATTTAAAGCAAAAATCTCTTAGAGGTATGAAATATTTTTTAATGTTTGAATACGAAAGACAAAACTTTACTTTTTACCTGTGACTAAATCAACAGATTTATTGGACGGGCCGCAGAATACAACGAAGTCTTTTTTCCCTCTCTTCATTTCAAAATAACGACGATTAATGGAACTGAAAATATTTATCAGCGCAACTCCAGTTACTGTTTTCCCGGTACCTGAAGCAATTTCAAGCATACTGTAAACATATTGTACTCTGAATTTATCTTAAAAATTAAAATATAAACTATAAAAAATTGACAGTAAGGTTAAATATGTACACATTGAGTAATTTTCTCATTGATTATACATGTTATCAAAATTATCCAAAGCTCCATCTTGCTTTGGTATAAGTCAGCAAGTACTCACTATTTTGCAAAGATCAGTCACAGACATCATTATTAAATGCATGGTATTAATAAATTCTTGCCACCTGTTATTAAAGGATGACTGCACTTAACGACAGGTTTAAGGTCTTCTTCGGTCTAATTTCACTTTCATATATATATATATATATATATATATATATATATATATATATATATATATATATATATATATATATATATATATATATATATATATATATATATATATCAAACAATTATGTCAATTTAGAACCAAATTAAAATGTTAAAATCATTTTAGAGTGTGATACAATAAAATTATTTTATTTTTTCCTTATCTCTTTCCAAATATAGAGAATTTACACTTACCTTCCCTTGATTAAACATTAGGTATGCATGAGAGGTGGAGCTAACATTGTAAGAATGGGTCTAGAATTAGACTAGATAAATAACAATTAGATGTATTAAAAAACGTGATCACTCTTTCCCATCTCCCTCTCTATTCATTATGGCAAGTACACTATTTACACAGTTTTCAAAACGAAATTTACAATATGAGCCTGTTCATGTAAGTAAAGAAGATTTTAAGGACAGATGATACAAACAAAAAAATGGATGCTTGGATTGGTATTTATTTTTGGCCCTATTTTGGTTATAAATAATGCAAATTATAAATTTCTAAAATATTAAGAAATTGAAAACTTTTTATGAAGTTCAAAATTCTACTTTTCTACAACCATCCTTATGAATCTATACAATTTTTTTGTCACTGAATCCTTTACTTTGAAAACTTTGAATAAAAAATTAAAATCTACACGGTTAAACTTATTCATTTTACTCATGACTTCAGTGGCTATTATGATTTTAGATAAAAGTTTATTGGTATCATCTGTCCTGAAATCAAGGACTGACAATTTTACGTGTTCGAACATAATGTCCTAGTTAGCACAACACATGCTACCTTACTTGTACCATAGGACTGGCGGTAAATTTAGATTTTGCTTTGATGTTGCTGTGGTGTATTTGCCAGAAGCACAGTTTTTTTTTAAGTCACGCCCATCTTTTGGCATCAAGCCATACTGTGACAAGACTTTGACTGATGAATACATGATGTTAATTTCCAGACCTTGGCAATGGCTGATGAATGAATTAAGACATTCTTAATTTCAAAAAAACTAACATTAGCTTGTCGATGTTCGCTTCATAAATGTTTCTGTATGTTTTCTCCACGTATCCTTAATCAGTGAATGATACGTCCTATCTGGAATTCTCGTCATTCTCTTTCCCGTCTCCAAATACATATAGCAATTTCAAATCAGAAGTCCCCGCGTTTTTTTTCAACTTTCAATACCATTTCAAATTTACATTAAAATGTCAGAAATCATTTCATTTTTTTCTGTACGCCGATTGCCATAAAGAAAAAATTTCAATGGCGATGTTTCCCATACCCATCCCCCCTTTAAAAAAAAGATCTAGAAAGATAAATTTTCTCTCAGAGTTGACGGCCTGAATATAAAAGCCTACAATCGCTACCCCTGTACCTGACAAAAATCATGTTTTCTGTGTCTTCTACATTCCAAAGGTACAAAATCTTCAGACGTACCAATTTTTTTATCAACGATTTACAGAAGCAGTGCCGCAGCTAAATATTATCCTTGCAGATGGAGACAGTTATTTATACAGACTCTAAACCGTGGCTTGACACCTCGTAGTAGGCGGTGCTAATTATCAACTTGCTTTTCTCTCATTGGTCCTCTGGTACAAGTAACTTACACTATAGATATTAATTGGTTAGCGGTAAATACACTCACAGTTTTTATTCACTCGGGGCTCCGCCCCTCGTGAATGAAAAACTGCGAGTGTATTTACCGCTAACCAATTAATATCTATAGTGTAACTATAACAAGTCACGTGACGGAATTTAGTATTCTCAGAGTTACCTGAGGTAAGGAATCACGTGGTGAATTTTAATATTCAACGTCACAACCCTTGAATACAAAAGAGAGAGCGAATGAAGGAAGAGGCTTTCTTTCTTTTTTTTTTAAACCATGAGCGCATGTTTGTCTATCAATCTCCCTTTGACACATTATTAATGCAAATATACAACTACTGTTAACGGAGAACAATAGACAGACATGCGCTGACTATGTATAAAGTCAGTAAAAATGTGGGCCTACTAATGTGTTTGGAACCTTTTATTCATTGTTCTGCATATCATAATACCCGAGTTCACATTAAAAAAAACTTCAATGACTTCACCCATTGTTATTAGTCTACGTATATTTTACCGATTCAACCATCACTAGTTGGATATTTAAAGATCCAACTGGCCATCAGTTGGATATTCAAATATCCAACTGCCTATCGGTTGGATATTTAAATATCCAACTGTGCATACAAACATAATTAAGCAATGAACAAAAGAGACAAAAGAGTTTCAAATGTACAATGTATTTCCAATGCACATAAAAATAATTACTCCGAATTTGTCACTCTATTAGAATTAATGTCCATTGCAATGCACATGGAATTCGCATTTTTCACACCATTAGAATCATGTTAAAAATGTACTTCCAATGCCCACAAAAATTACAATTCCTCCAAATTTTGCACACTATAAGACTCTTGTCGTCAATAATATATCTAATACTTATCCGATGATATTTAAACAGAATGTTTCCGGTCCTAAATTATGAAAGCATCACTTTTTGACACGCTTATAAATACATTTTCACCTTGAACCTTAAACCACATCACCTCTTAATAAATTGACAGCCCATCTATTTTTTGTCACCTTTTTTATTGCAGATCTTGATATGGAATATTTTTAAAGCGGGTTCTGCATAACACCGACAATCTTTTCATCTGTTTTAGCACTACTAGAAGTATTCTGAATGGAACTCCATAAGATTCCATTACTTTTCCTCAACAAATCATCATCTTATATATAATGATAGATTTCCAACCTTTTATCAAAATTCTGTAGTTTTCTTCTGCTTTCAGGTCAAAAAGTATATTCAAAACACTATCTGAACCTCTCTTAATTTACTTTGGATTTTAAACTATTCTTCATCTGATTTCATGCACAATGGCTAGGTTTGAAATGACATTAGCACCATGTAGTTTCATGCTCACTAGTCCATGAATAAAAGGGGTGTTCGATTAGGCTATTGTATTTTGTCACTGTTGGATATCTAAATGGGCTAGATCCCATTGTATTACAGCAAAGTTGGATATATGAATGGGTAGATGTTTCTTTGGGGTCCAAAGTGGGGAAGTTTCTTAAGTAAGATAAATAACTCGATAGTATTGAATAGTTTAGAGAAAACATCCTCTCCTCGGACCTTCGACCCTCGGAGGGAATGTTTTCTCTAAAACTATTCAACACTATCTCGTTATTTATCCATTACATAGCTCTGGTGAGATTAAGTGAGACTACAGCGAGACTGATAACGGATACGATAAATTATTCACGAAAATGCACTTAGGAAGTGAATAGAACGTGGAGACATACAGCATACTGCCATAATTGATCAACTTTTTTTAATAGCAGCCATTTGGATCATATAAAATTATATGACTTCCTTGCCAGCCTCTTAAATGAACTTTAATCACTCTTATATTTTCTTATGTCACCTTTCTTGATCAATACCTCTCTGCATCTTTTTGGAAGGCTTGCATAAAGTGTTTGAATTTAAAAAAGTGACTTCATTCCAAACCCTTTGTAACTGAGTTTTCAAGTCATTTACATTTACAAAGTCTGTTTTTGATTTTGATTTTCATTAATAACAAATATTCTCGATTGGGCTCAAATCGGGAGACTGGGGAGGCCAACTTATCTGTGGAATTCTGTTCTGATGTTTCCAAATTTCAGATTCATTGGACCGATGGAATGGGGCATTGTCATCTTGGAAGTACCACGTACTATGGTCAAAATGTTTAACAACAACCTTTCTTATATTGTTATCTTGTGTTTGGATACTGTTACGGTGTAAAACACGACTTTTTCGGACTTATTATAAACAAGAAGTCTGTGAGCCAATGCTCACTAATAATACCCTTGCTCTGATGTGAATCAAGAAGTTCAGTTATGGACAGACACAGTTATAATCAGGAGCATCTGCGATGAGTAGTTGGTGAGAAAACTGCCATCCCTTTTTTTTATTGTATGGTACAGACAGATGCACGGATAAACAGAAAGTTGAAATCGGATTCGTACAAAAATGATTCCCACCATATGGCATGCCTAAACAAAGGATGTGCTAAAATTTCAAAATTTCAAGCATCTGCGATGAGTAGTTGCTGAGAAAACTGTGACCAAAATTCGTTATGTATGGTACGGACAGACGCACGGGTAAACAAGAAGTTGACATCGGATCCGTACAAAAATGAATCCCACCATATGACATGCTTAAACAAAGAGTGTGCTAAAATTTCAAGCCTCTGCGATGAGTAGTTGCTAAGAAAACTGCGACCAAAATTTGTTATGTATGGTACGGAGAGACACACGGATCAACAGGAAGTTGACATCGAATTCGTACAAAAATGAATCCTACCGTATGGCATGCCTAAACAAAGAGTGTGCTAAAATTTCAAGCATCTGCAATGAGTAGTTGCAGAGAAACTACCAAAATTTGTTACGGACAGAAATACAGACGAACAGCTAGACGGACGGACAGACAGATAGACACACAAGGGTAAAACAGTATACCCCCCTCTCCTTCAGAGCGGGGGTATAATTACTGTGTAAATTAACTTTCCGGACTTTGAGTAAATTGTTAAAAATCATTATTATCCCAATTGTTCACCAATTGATGTTTAGATTTTTCAGAGTATGTGTTGTAACTTTTTTTTTCTAAAGCACCGGTTATATTTACATGTATGTATGTATCCAGGAAAAAGCCAGTTGGATGAAATTTCACGAGGAGTGGGGTGCACAACTAAAAATTTCCGGGGGCACTATTATTCAAGAAAAAATTCCTTATCAAGCAATAGTTATCATGAATACGTTTTTTACATGATTTATGGGACATAAAATAGCTATGTTTTCTATAGAATATAATTATATATCGGCAAAATATGGGGGGGGGGGTTCCTCCTCTTCTCCCCGGTTCCATGAAAAAAAAAGAAAATTACAAGTAATACAGTTACTGTTTATATAGAATAAATTCATAACCTAGTTTTTTCTCCTTTTTTTCAAGTTGATGCCACTGGATTAAACTTTCGTGTCTCTTAGAGTTGTGTTGATTACGTTGGATTCAACTTTTCTCAATTCTTCGTATAATAATAAATTTTGCTCACGTCAGACGAGCTTTTTAAGAAAGCTAATACTTGTAGAATAATTGTTTTCAGAAAAACCCTTGTAGCTAGACATCACGTGATAAATTGTAATATTTAACCGGTCAATCGAGGTCAAATCAAGCTTAACACAGTCTTAGTAATGGAACCGACAAGTTTGGTTTGAACATGTTTTTTGTAAAATTAAGTATGAGCGCACATTTGTCGATTCATTTTCTTTTGATATGGCATTATTTTGTTCAATATACAACTACAATTTTCTTAAGAATAAAGCCGACAAACATGCGCTGACTATGTATTAATGATATCCGCTCAGTCAGGAAGGATAACTCTTGACATTATTATTTAATATGAAGCTTGAAACTGAAATCTTTTCGTGCAACAATTTTCATTTCATGCATCTCAATATAATTCATGAATATGATATGGTCCTTTGACGTCTTAGAGATGGTCTTGTAAAACGTGGACAGTTGTACTCCATAAAAGTACAAAAAATAACTAGTTTTAGAGAAATCGAATTTCTTTTAATCTAGCCTTAGATACCAATGCATATTAGCATGATATGAATGAGAGGTGATCCATGATGTTTTGCCATAATATCACGAGCTATTCACACTTTTTATTAAGTAACAATTGAAGTAAATAGTCGAACTTAAATACCGTATAAAATCATGCAATTATCTCCGAATGCCTTGAAACTATAGTTTTTTTTAATCATAAAATATATTTATTGATAAATTTTCAATTAGAATTAGCTGATGCTTTTATTCGCATTTCCTGAAATTATATTTGATATTTGTTAATTTTCTTTATATGATATGTTGCAATATAATGATGAACTTTGAAGAAATTCCATGCGCAAATACACATTATTTTGCTAATTCGGAGACATTTTTATGAGTTTTTCGATTACTTAACTGCTTATTTTCAGAACCTGATGATCGGACTACCTTAAGACGATGAAATAAGCGTGACTCTGATTATCTATTGATACTCAAGAAATCTTCGGTTCCCATGCCTTCAATATTTATTTGGTTTTCCTTGAAAACAGTGTCTTATATTTATATCTGTATCAAGAATACACAGTTAAGATACCGGTGATTTATATTAAGGAAAGAAATGAACATTTTATAAAAATTTCTATTTACGGACTTTTTCATGACTCTTAAGTCCACCCATTTTTTGCATGTCCTCAAGTGCAGTCATCCTTTTAATTTAACAAAATTTTGTACTCCAGTCATGACAATGAATTACTTCATAAATCATTTCTAAGCAATCCCCCTCTCTCTGATTATTTTATTTTTCCCTTAATTATAATACCGTATTGTAATTTCTTGTGCTTATTGTCATGTTACCTGGTGGACCCTGGATCAAGGAAAAGCTTGAAGAGAGTGCTTTTTTAATTGCTTTTCTTTGGTTCTCATTGAATGTAATTCCAGTGTTTGGGATTTCAAGGTCTTGCACATGATCTCCTAAATCTTTATGAATTTTATCTGAAGTATGCAATGATACATATTTCAACAGGAAAGCTAACATTTTCAAAGTGTGAATAAGATACAGTTATTACAGTATTTTTAGTAGTAGGAATTATATCAATGATTTATGAGATTTTCTAGAAGTTACCAAGTCCCGGAAGTGGTCCTCTTAATGCAATAGCTTTAGCAAGTTCTGAAGCACTTTCTAACCATTTTACATACAACTCTGTTCTCCTACAATTAAAGAGTGAGAGAAATTGAGTGTTAAGTTATTCATAAAATACACCAGCAAACAGCAAAATACATTAGAGAAAAACCTAACCTGCAGACATCTGCTTTAGGTAATATTTCTAAACTGCAATCCTTCCTCTTATTTAAAATTTCCTGTGGAATTGGAGGGCTTTTATTATGACAAACAAACGCTACACTGACTTTATTCTCGTTTTTTTTCGTTAGAAATCGGACATCGTTTACTTGAGCATGGCCTATCCAATACCTTTGCCGTGGGGAAATAGCACCTCTACCAAAATTGCTGACAACATCGCTTAGTGGCTCCAAAGGACACCTTATACAGAGAAAATCAGATCCAGGCATATAAAATCGTTCTTTGTCTTCTTCATTGTCTTTTTTTACATCCTCCTCTGTATTCAAAAGATCTGTCGAATGTGCAGTGAAATGAATGTCACGTTTTTCAAGAAAAGACTGTTTAAGAGAAAATCCTCCACCTCCAAGACGAAAAGTGATTGGCAAATCACTTATTGTAATGGAATCATCATCTGCTGTTTGAATTGCAACTTCCATGGAGAATATAGGCATCCAAATGTTGATGTATTCGCTACATGAAGAGTACTTTTCGTTTGTTGATTTCGTAGCTATTGAGGACAAAGTACCAAGAGGATCTCTAGCATGTTGTAAACAGATTTTTATATTTGGTGTTATGTCAAACAGTTGTGGCATAGGCGTCATTATTCCTCTCTCTGGCTCCGAACACATCTGAATTACAACAAGTTGACCATAACTGAATGATAGGCTGTAGTTGCATATTTGTTGAGCAAAATATCCACCACGAATTTCTGAACTTACATCATTTACTGTGTTCCATGATGCTGAAATTTGTTCATTTGAAGTTGGTTGATCGACAGCTGACATTAGTGAGTGAATATTTTTTGTTTTTCCATTTAAAAGTGCTTGTATGATATTTACCCACTGTCTGAGCTGATGAAATTGGACATTTTGGTGTGGATTTATTCTGAGATAAGTATTCTCTTTTGGTGGATTTTTTGTTCTTCTATTCAATGAATAAATACGGTTTTGCCATTTGATGGTCATAAAATATCGATCAAAACCAATTTCTTTTTCAAATTTAGGTTTCTGCTTTGAATGTAATAAGTTAATTGGTAACAGCTTGCTTGCTCTGCTCAATTTACGTAACGTAGGAAAAGTTAACTCAACGTCATTATTTGTGACATTTCGAATAAAGCCATTGAAAACACGGGGATCGTTACTTAATGAATGGGCAAACAATAACTTCAAACAACTTTTTCGGAACTGCTTTCTAATGCGGTTTGTTTGATTCATCTCAACACAAATTTTTTGAATTTCATTTTCGCTGTAAGGGGGCTCTTTCAAGTTGTCAAGCGCTGCATGTACCATTCTATGAACGACAAGATCTATAAACCTTCTGAGCGGAGCGGTAAAAGTTGTGAAAATGGGGACACGCAAATCAAAATGAAGTGCCTCAAGCTGCTTAGAAATTAAGCATTTGTATTCAGCTGCTTCCTGTATTTCGATCCATTCTTCAAGGGCCAAGTTTTGTAGTGGATGAATTTCATCTGCACCAAGAACAACCTGTAATTTGTCATATTGTTTTAATCTAGCATACTCTTTCAATGCATCCCAAACATTATTTTGAACAGGTACATGATGCCTATATCGAATAAGGCTCGGTTTGCAGTTGAAAATAGAACATACGGCACCAGTACCTATTTCACAATCCTGAAGATGAAATAAGATGTTATCCATATGCTCATTGTGAGCATTTTTCCATCTCAAGAGTAGTTTTTCAGAAGGGCGGACATGACACTTGCAAGGTACACACCTGGGATATTTTGCAAAAAGAAACTTTGCAATTGATTGATTAGTAAATATGTCCAGCTCTTGCACTAACAAATGTGCATCTATACATTCAATAAAATTATTCTTCTCATATGGAAACATTTCGTTCACTTCCGTGTAATATGACGCATTTCCAATTCTTTTTTTGCGTAGCTTTCTAGAAGTCATATATAATACATGAATATCACTTTTCATATGCTTTGAGCTTAAGAGATTTTGAACATCAGAGATGTTATACTGCTTTTCAGATTTTACAACAGATCTCTTTACTTGCCCTTTAATGTCTGAGTATTTGAGAGAATCAATTTCCTCTTCGTCAATAGAAAAGTCGAAAAAAACACTCAACGCTTCCCTCTCTTTTCCAGTTTCCATGTTGAATAATTCATTGCTGAGTCGTTCAGGAATCATAAACACTGGATGTATATCTTTGTTTACATAGAAGTCCGAACCATGCCTTCTTGCTTCCAAATCAAGGGCATCCCCCTTTTTAATGACTGATGTGGGGTCTATTACATGTACCCCGATGCGATAGAGCCCTGATTCTACGAGATTTACACTGTAAGAAGTTTCTGTTGCACCTTCTTTTCCATCGTCTATTGTGAAAACTTTTATTACCTTTTTCTCTTCAACATGGGCTTTTACTCTTTTTTCTAATATTGATTCGGTTGCCTCTCTGGTTTCTTTACTGTAAGTACAGGGCACACGATATTGGAGCTGAAGGATGCCAAGACCTGATTTTATATCCCCTTTTGTGTTTATTACACTTAACGTTATTCCAAATGGATACATGTCATTCCAATTTAGAATTGCAACCAGAAAACAGCATGATTGCTTACGTGTAGGGTTAATATCCAAAGTTGTCCGATATTCAACAACACTTCTCTCTGTATCATATGAGAACAAATCTACTTGATATTTGTGTTTACATTTTTTATGAGAAACATTTATTTTCGGAACTGTCTTACAAAGAGGTATCATCTTATGATCTGCAAATTCATCTTTAGAGCAGATAAGCACAGGATGTTCTAAATCTCCATATCTATTTCTTTTTAATCTCCCAAGGACTTTTCCAAAGATATCATTGTCTTTTATTTCTTTAGTCACATCTTTTTTTAATCTGGGAATATTAGAACTCTGCGCTTTAGATTCTCCAAGAACCTCTACTACTACTTCGTCATCAGAAAATGCCTTTCCACACTTTGATCTTCCCGAAATGACAATTTCTTTCACATCGTCTGCCAAATCTAAATTTTTACATACTGCTCTGTGAGCTGATTCTATCTCAATACTACACCGTTTATACTTATTCTTGTCCCATTGAAGAAGGCGAAGAAGATTCTGCACGTCCATTTCATTTTGATATTGAAATGGCTTTGATTTTCTTTTTATCTGAAAACTGGCTTTACAATCGTCAGTCAAAGTTAATCCAAAAACAACGAGATCACTGTTTGTGGGTGTTTTATCAGAACTGGCTATAATAGAATACCTTAATTGAGCCTCGTCGTCAAATGTATCAAAACCACTGTCACTAAAGGTATCTGTCTCGGAAATCTGATATTCTGGTGCTTCATAAGAAAAAGGCTTTTTGATTGAATATTCATTCTCACTGATTGATGCCTGTCCAGAATCGGAATCACTATTTTTTCTTTCTACTATTTCAACGTCGTAATCCTCTTCTTCTTTGACTGTCTTTTTGAGTTTTCTTCTTTTTTTCTTCACTATTGGCTCAGGAACGTAATGGGGTACGTCTTTCCATGTTCTATATTTAGAAGTGTCTTCAAAAGACATGGTACTTTTCTCAAATTCTTCAGTGGGTGACAATTTAGGTTTCTCTTTTTCTGGTCTCTTAGCTGCCGATATAAAAATCAATCTCTTAAAAGTACATTGGATTTAATCTAATATGGTAGAAAACAATTAATTGTATGCACATTTATTAAAATTTAAAAGCAATCGGGTTTTGTTTACAGTAATCTCAGACCTCACAGAAAAATACTGTTTTGTAATAAATATTTTTATAAAAACTTTGCATTAGTTTGTACAGGAATACATCACAATACTTACAAGTTTCATGCAACAACAAAAAATTTAATAAGTTTTCTTGTATTTTTTGGAACGTTGACATTGTTTGCTTGTTTAAAATGATATCTATTAAAACCTCTACATTACTTTGAACAGAAACGATTTCAACACGGAAATGTTTCTTACAACCTTTAATGTCCATCATACACATTTTTCTGGTATTTTGGAGAAAGGCGTGACATAATAATAGAGAGGTTGAGATTTCATACGTGTACGGGTACGGGTACGTCTAGTAGGGGAATTCCCTAAATTCCTCGTGTATTACGTCATCAGTTTTAGTGATGACAAGTTCTCTACCCGTTCCCGCAACTTGTAGGGTGGCGTCTACACGTAAGTACAAACTTGTAGCTTTTATAATAAAAATTAGTCTATTCATGTATGAAAATTTGGTTGTTGTACTTTATTTAGGATTTTTAGTTTTATAAGTACGTATTTTAAAGAGGTTTTATTTACTAACTGAAGTCAAATTGATGTCACAAATGTTGAAACAGGGACACCGATCACCGTTTATTAAAAATGAAAACACGTTTAGCTTCTGTATTCTTAAAATAGCACAAAAATTAGTTGTGTGAATTTGTTTCATTATATGTATCTATTCTACTATTAGGTTTAATCATCTCCGTCTTTTTAAGTACTAGTAGTCAAGAGGTATTGAAAGGGGGGGGGGGTATTATAGTGATTCATTCCCCATAGAAAAATATTCCCGCAAGACATTACGAAGTAACTTTCCCTAGGATGATTTTTACGTGTAGTATTTATACCTAAAAATTAACCTTCCAGTGAGCTATTTTAAAAAGACTTCAAAAACAAAAACTCAAGGGGGGGGGGGGACTACTTGTGGACAGAACGTTGTATATTTATAGGCCTACTACGGTACATTACCGGAAGATGGTCCATATATGTCAGAGAGAAAGTTGACATGCTTAAACTTTTACAAAGACATTTTCAAGTTCAATCTGTAAATGTACTTTTAGTATAAATAATTAACACAATATTTTTTTTCAGACCATTATATTGCGTTATATGTACCATGGAATCGGGGAGGAAAAAACAGTTTAGATTTTCGGAGCAAGATGACATTAAACTTTTGAGGTAAGAATTACATGTTAAAAAACAAGTTAGTAAGTTTCTAACAAGGATATGTTTTACAGTATTTCTCGAATTTTCATCATAAAGATATAAGGTATAAGATACTGCAATTTTAGACCCTCAAGTTTCAGGGGCCTGTTTTACTAAAGAACTTACGACTAAGTCCAAAATCTATTTCTGTTTATTACGATCTATTTTACAATAATTTGAAAAAAATTGTTTTAAACTTTTAAAAAGAATTTATAAAGATATTTTTTCTAGCAATTTCAAACAGAATTATTAATTTTGCAAAATTTTAAAACGGGTCCCTGGTCTTTAAAAAAAATGTAATTTCTTTTTCAACATTAAAATTTTTAAAATTTTGGTTAAGTAAATCATTTATTTGTTGTTTTTGTTGTTGATAGAGAGGTCATCAGCAGGAATCCCTTCAAAGATAGAGCAAAATGGGCAGAGATTTCTTCAGTTCTTCCCCTGAATATTGACGCAAGGAGGGTTCGGAAAAGGACTGTCCTTCTCATAGAACAAAGGAAGAAGTTCAACAGTTGTTCCCTCAAAAAATATGCAGACTATGCTAATTATCTTAATTAAAAATTTACATTGCTGTTATGTAATAAGATAATCATTTCATACCTGTAATGAACCCGACTTGAATCATACGTATCTAAAAAGACTGTTCCTTAGTAGAACTTGAATTCATTCACTTTTTTATTTTCATTCAGAGTTTTATTTTAAATCATAATCTTATCACATTTTTGTCAATATTTAAATTACCTGTAGATCTGGTGTAGATGAAACGTATGGAGAAAAAGAAATTCTTTTGGACGAAATAATCGAGTTAGCAAACGAAGAAGAAGAGAAAAAACGGAAAGATAAATCAAAGGCTGTTAAAGAGGAGACCCTGTGCAAAGATCCCAGAAAACGTGCACTAGAGAACCTGACACCATCCAAAAGTGGTGTGTATTATTTAATTTCTTTATTATATAACATATTTCAATTCTGTGTTTAAAGTGGCATATAGGCCCGATGGGCCGGATGTTGATTGTTCTTTTATACAGTTTGTAAACAAATAATTATATATGCACACATGTCACTGTCAATAAATAACTTATTCAGAGAAAGAGAGAGAGAGAGAGAATAGTTAATGTGTAATTTGTTTACTGGTTCTTATTTTAAAATCTAGTCATTGTAATTTAAGACTGGACGTGGAACATTAACTAGCAAGATTGGAAATATACAGCTTACAGTACAGTGTACGTCATTTCCACATGTTGCAGTCTGAGAAAACATTAGATGAAATTCAAGTTTAAAGTTGATATTCTGCAAAAGTTGCTATTTGCATGGCCCTGTTCTACATTATTCCTTCAGTTTCAAATCGAAGGATAAATTTAGCATTTAATATGAAAATTCCTTTACTGATATAACATTGAAGTGGTGTGTTTACTATTCTTAAGTTTATTAATTTATCAATTAATTTATTTTTTGGGACATCTAGAACCAAGTCAATTATTTTGTTCTGATTTTTACTTAGACGAGGACCAGCGAAATAGCGGTAAATTTCCTAGAAAAAGTTCAAGTTTGATATCATTCTTGAAAGAAAAAGCAGAAACTGAAAAACAATCCCGAGATGAGGAATTGTCACTTCGTCGAGAGCAGCTAAACTTGGAGAAGGAGAGATTTGAGCTGGAGAAAAAGGAAAGGCTCCAAAGACTGGAGGCTGAAAAGCAGCAGACGAAAATGATGTTAGAACTTTTTTCAAAATTTTTAAATAAATAAATAGATTATTTTAGCATTTAGCTAGCTTTTTACAAAATGTTTGAATAAATAAATGGAATATATTATTGCATATTAGCTAGCCATGTAATAAGATACAATGTAAATGCGAAAACATTCCTTGGTGTTTTTAAAATATTCAAGAAATCAATTAAAAGCATGACTATGAAAGAATTTTATTTATTTCAATATACCTAAACTGTTTAAACTCAATTAAGCTTTTCTACAGGCTACTTTAAAAGTTACTAGAAAAACTCAACACAGATTTTTGTCATGAAGACCAGGTTAAAATTTACCACGTAACAGTTTGTGAAATATACAGCGATATCAATGACATACACCCGTACTTTATGACATGTATTCTTCAAGTGTAGGAGGTGGAAGATTAAAGTACTCGCTCGTAACACTACCATACAAACAGGTGTGGCAATTAGTGAGTAATGACGCTACCAGATAATACTTAGCCACAGGTTGTAAAAATAGTTTCTGATTTTTCTTATAGTCAACGAAAGCGAACAGAGAGAGGATTTTTCCAAATGTCCACTCAACGCTGGAACGGAGCTTTGACATTCTACAGTTAAATATTCTTTCCTGGTTGCTGAGAACAGCTCCTTTGAAAGGTGTAATAAGGTGCACACGCAAAGGATAAGCAAGGTCGCCGTAAAGAGAGAATACTGTACCATCCTTCATTGTCATGCGTTGTTCAAGTTTCGGCATTAGTTCACTCATTCTTAGCATGGCAGAATCATGGCGCTTTGCCTCTATAGGGCCATACATATTTGCAATTAAACCATTTGGTATCACTACAGACTGAAATTTTAAGCCATGTACCCTTTTGTGTCCATTATAGACAAGGTTTTGGTTCGCGGAAGGTCTACATATCAGCCTTACTGTTCGATCTATGAAACCCCAGCAATTTGGAAGTGGTCCACCAATGTCTGATATGGCATCAGCGTACATTCGAAGGTGTTCTTCGTCCAACCAACTTTGATTTAGGTCACAAAATTTACCCGAATGTCTGTGGTACAAATAATCCAATACAGTGTTTGAAATGTATGAAAGCTCTGACTTCGAACGGTTGAACAATGGTTTCATGTCATCTAGTCTGTTAGGATAAAACAAGCGCCTAAGCAGTATCAAGACACCCTCTGTCGTAGATACCCGAGTACCATTTGGGCATACGAATTAGGATGAAAGGGACAATGCCTCGCATAGGCGAGAAATATCATTCTTCTGAAATCGAAAGAATGAATAAAACTCTTCCTCAGATAAATTGTCTAGATTTAGTTGTTGACTTTTCACATCGTTTTCTGTAACTGTAGACATAAGCAACACATCATCGTCTTCACATAAACAAGCAATTTCCAAAGCATCTGCCATTATTTACGGAAACGTCATAAACGAAAATGACGTCATTTCTGAAGACATTGAAAATAAAGTGCGCGAAATTCTTGTACACGTTCTTGTTACACGTCATTAAAATCTCAACAGACAAATTACAAAAACGTGTACGTGTACGTCTAATTATCTATATACGTACACGTACGCGTACAAGTTTAAAATCTCAACCTTTCTTGTTTACTCACGTCTGCGGTGTGCTCCAGGCCTCTTTACATGCTTTTCTTTGGCTTGTAAGGCCTTTTCCTTCATCTAGAAAATTGAATGACATAATTCAATTGTACAAAGATATTTTATTTAAAGTTTATTCTTTGATTTAGCTTGAGATCTAAGAAAATTTATTCATATACCTGTTGTGGCATACTTATATTAGTTGCAAATAACCATTCAGCGTCTACATGGCCTTGGTCCTTTGGCACACGATTCCATTCCAAAATAAGTGAATCTCTAAATTTTCTTAAATCCAGTAAAGTTATTTCTGTCTGAAAACAGATTATGAAAGAAATGAAAACATACATTAATTCATTTTTCCAAATGTCAAATTTGGAAATTGGCTGTTTCAGAGATTTCATGGAATGTCACCCTGACCTTTTTGAAGTGATATGATCCGCCATTATGACCATTTTGATGATGTGATTTAAAAATATTTTTGAAGCGTATTATAAATTTCTCTCTTTAGAAAATCAGCATTAAAGGGGCCTGGGCACAGTTGCATTGTTTACAATTTTAAATGTCTATTTTCATTCAAAAATTAACTTCATTTTTTATGATTTCAACTTACATAAATATTCTAAGAATTTAATGACAACGCCATTCTTCATAACATCACGTCAAACACATGTGTTTGTAAACAGGGCACAAGCTCTCTTATAATTGTTAGTGTTAACAATTTATCAATTTGTTTAGTCTGTATACATTACTGAGCACAAACTGGCAATATTGGTGAGTTGGTATTAATACTTTCCAGATAAAAGAATTTTCTTAACACGTTTTAAATATAATTCGGTGTGAAATGCTTTAGCAATATATATCATTTTATAATTTCATTATATAATTTTGAAAATTTTAGAAAATATTAGCTTCAAATCTGAGTCTCCAAGCCCCTTGAAATGCAACCCATATCTCTAGATATCATTAATTAATTAAATGAGCATGTTGGGAAAAGATATGAATTTTTACTTCCAAACAACCTTCATGACTATATTTCAAATAGATACGTGAAACAAACTGAACGACCGAACTTTGTGAAAAATGAATAAAAATTTAATTAATGACCCTCTGCTAAAAGAGGTAACTTTCACTGAGGTTGGTGATTATTAGTTCCTTAAAATTGTCAAGGTGGAATTTTCAATCAAATTTTTTTTTAAAATACTGAGTATTAATTACAATTTGATTATTTGAAAAGAATCATTATTGTTGAATGTTGAGGCAAAATTTTATATGGGTGACTGATAAACATTTCTTTCGTTGCCTTTTTAGTGATTATTTATTATCTACTTTCGAATACCTGTGCACAATGTACTTCAATAGCTTCCTCTGTTTTCTTCAAAGCTACATCAAACTTTCTCAGGTCATTTAACGCCTTAGCCCACATGAACAGATTATTTGCGTCCATTTCGTCCCCATCTCGATCTGAAGAGAATAAAAGTTACTCTTATCTCAAACTATATATTCTATTTACACAGTGGTCTATGTCAGAAAGTAAGAAGTGTAAATTTTCAAACAGCAAAGTTCATCAAATCAATGAATGAAAAGTAACGCACATTCTATTTCTCATATTTAAAGTGGAGATTCCATACTTCACTTGTTCGTAGTTGAGACTGTTACTTTTCAAGCTGTTGCTGTTCACTTTTGTGGTAAAGTCATTTGGAATTTATTAAATCTTCTTCAACATGCTAAACCAGTAGACACATAATTTGGGCATTTGTTCTTTAAATGGTTCAACATATTGCTAGTTGTTTTGCAAAAGGATGAAGAGAATTCATATATAGGATATTTTATATCTGTACCATCTAAATAACTTTTTTTTTTAAAGACAGCAAGGAACTAAATATAAGTATGTAATTTTCCTTGGCTGAGTAAATATGAGTAAGAGTATTTTCAATTAAGGTCTGACGACATGTTTCTCAAATATCTTTTGTATCTCTTCGTAATATATCAAACTCTGAACTGTTTTAAAATGTATTGAAACATAAGTATACCAATATACACCAATAATTGTGATAATGGCAATATAAGCGATTTCTAAAAGAATTATATAGAAAACACCATTCTCTGCTATCTTGCACAAATGTTCTGGTAAGGTACCGTATTTTTGTGAGGAAACTTATTAAAGTAGCAATACTTCAATGACAAATGGGGGAAAATTATATATTATTGAGGAACGTGTCATCTGACCTTAAAAAATTATTTCAGTTTTTTGAGTATTATATGGTGTGTCAGTTAAAAAGACTGAAACGTGCAATTTAAAAAAAAATCCCTTATATGTTTAAAATCAACAAAAATACACCCAAGATTTGAATTTTTTGCTGCCCTTAATTGGTATTTTTTCATGTCCATATTTTTCATCATGACACCACTTAACGCGTTTCTTCGTGTATATTTCTACATTGTACATGTGACTATGCCCACAAATGGCATTTAGATTAATTTTATTGTTATTTTAGTAAAACACAGCAAATGTAGGTATAGATGGATAACTTACTTGGTTAGATTATCGGAAAAAAAAAGTCGAATGCCGATGCTATCAAAGAATATTTGAATACTATTAGTCTAATATTCCTTGACATCCCTAATTAATACACATACAAAATGTATCAAACGATTTGAAATATTGATATGCATGTTCAGCTGGGAATGGCTCAATTCATGACTTCATACTGCTTAAATATTCACGTTTTCTAGACATGTACTCGTATTTAGCATTAATATTTAGTGCTGTTTCGTAATTTTAAAAAAAAAATGAAGTTTTACAGGAAAAGAATACCATTTCCTTACCTCTCTGCTTGTAGATTGCACATATTAAATTGTGGTATCCCTAAATGGACAAAAAAAAAATCATTGAAATTTTTTGATGTTCACATAATCGACTAAAACAATAAAACTATATAGTTATATGTTTAAGGGGAAAAACAGTAACAATTTCAAAAGGTTTTGGAATAAAAATTTAAAGCCTGTTGTATGTATTTAAATTTTATAGCTGCATAAACAAGATGTGTTTGTGAAACACTGATGCCCCCATATGGCAACTTGTAGTGAAGGTTAAACTTTCTCAAATACAAATCAAAGATGTTGGTACCTAAAGTACGGTCTTGTCTCAAGGGATAAACCTGTGAAATATGAAAGCCCTAGCTGCAACCATTAAATAGATATGGAAAAGGTTAAAAAATTTTCAAAAAAGTTAAAGTAAGTCAAACATCAGGGTCAACTGGACAAAATTAATGGTGCCCAAGGAAAGGCCTTCTCACAAGGAAAACACATATGAAATATGATAGCCTTAGCACCAACTGTTCAAATGTTGTGGCCAAGGTTAAAGTTTTTTTAAAAGTAGGTGAAAGTCAAAGGGTCAAAGTTGTTGGTATCAAAAGGAAGGAATTGTCACAAACATTACACGTGTGAAGTATGAAAGCACTAGCACCAACCGTACAAAAATTATGGCCAACGTTAATGGGTTTTTTTTCAAAAGAAGGTTAAACTCTTAGTTCAAGGTCAAAGTTGTTGGTATCCAAAGGAAGGACTTGTTACAAGAATTATACATATGAAGTATGAAAGCCCTAGCACCAACCGTTCAAAAGTTATAGCCAAGGTTAATGTTTTTTCACAAAAAGGTCAAACTCTAAGGTCAAGGTCAAAAGATCAAAGTTGTTGGTATCCAAAGGAAGGTCATGTCACAAGGATTACACATGTGAAGTATGAAAGCCCAAGCACCATTCAAAAGTTATGGCCAATGTTAATTTTTTTAATGTGGGTCATACTTCAAGGTCAAAGGGTCGAATTAAAGATTCCCAAAGGAAGGCTTTGTCATAAGAAATACACATGTAAAACATAAAAAAAAAACCTAGCACCAACTTTTTAAAGTTATAACCGAAGTTTTTCCAAAGGTAGGTCAAACTTAGGTCGAGTTCAAAAGGTCAAAATTGTTGCTATCTTAAGAAAGGTCTTGTCATAGGAAATATACCCGTGAAATATGTAGACCCTAGTGCTAACTGTTCAGAAGTTATGTCCAAGGTTAAAGTTTTTTTAAGAGTGGGTTAAACCGAAAGATCAAGTTCAAAAATATTTATATTCCTGGAAAGATCTTGTCAAAAAGAAATACACATGTGAAATATGAAAGCCCTTGAACCAACTGTTCTAAAGTTATGGCCAAGGTTAAAGTTTGGTAATTTCTTGCAAAAGTGGGTCAAACTCCAAGGTCAGGGTCAAGAGGTGAAATATTTTGGTAGCCAAAGAAAAACCTTTGTCACAAGGAATACACATATATGAAGTATGAAAGCCGTAGCTCTAACCAATCAAAAGTTATGGGCAAGGTTAAAGTTTTTGCGGACAAACAGACAAACAGACGGACAGGGCAAAAACTATATACCCCTGAATCTTCGATTCGTCATACTTGTTTTGATGATTTTCATAAATAGAATCTAAATGGGAATTACTAGATTGGATTGAACATGTACATTGCACATTTGTGAACATTTTTACACACAATTAAAAAAGTGAACCATCACTTCAATATCAGACTGTAGACTTCTTGCTAGCTCACACTATCCCTATAAATAATTAATGAACACTCTTACTTAAGAAAGTGTTTAGTGTTGCAATTTTCAACGACACTATTTGAATAAAAGTTTGTATTACTAATTTCATTTCCTGCTATGTATGAATGGAAGCATATATACAACAATATGAATAATGACGATAACGAGAAGTAATCAATTTAAAAGTCCATTGAAACAATACAAATTAGGAGCAGGGCAAATAAGGACCCCTAAAACATCAAAGTTGGGAGCAGGTGCCATAGAGTAGTAGGCATCCTCTATCGGCCGGTCACACCCGCTGTGTGCTCCTTGTTATATCGGGCAAACGAAAAAATCTACGATGTCACTTACATATTATTTTGTCAACACACCCACCCACACCCCCCCCCCCCCACACACACACACACACCCACACACCCTCACACACACACCCTCACCCTCACACACACACACACACACACACCCTCACACACACACACACACACACACACACATATATATATATATATATATATATATATATATATATATATATATATATATATATATATATATATATATATATATATATATCTTTCGAGTTGCAATTTCAAAGATACTCTCATTTCTCTATTTGATTTTGGAAATGAAAAAGGTTAAGATAACGAACAGTGACCAATCTCAAAAAAATTTACAAATATGACATTATGACAAATCCGTGAACAGTACATAAAACACGAACCCTCAGAAATCCCAGAAGTGGGATCAGGTGTCTAGGAGGAGTAAGCATCCGCTATCGACCGGTCACACTCACCATGAGCCCTATGTATTGATCAGGTAAACGGAATATTCCGTAGTCAAATTAAGTTTGAATTTTAAATATAAAGGCCTTACAATTGGTAAGAAACATGTCAGCCGAAATACGACCCAATGATATGTTATAATTGCTAACAAGGTCATTATAACGACCATAGAATTTACGAAATGGTGACTTTAAACGATGATGTTGAAATTCCTGTAACATCAACATATCTGTCAGTAGCCTGCCTCGGTTTAAAAAATTTATCGTACTCACAGCATTTTATTCAGTATCGAAAAAGTCAGGAGACGTAAACACTTTATGTAGGTAACAGCGGAATATTATTACACAAATAAGGAAAGTTGAAGATTTACGATAGAAAAGCCATCTCGTTTGTCATGCAATTTAGTTGTTAGTGGGACCTATCGTCTATAGTCAATAAAACATCCAAATATGAAACAAATGTGGCAGACTCCTTGGTATCTTTTATTTCGAGTTTACTTGGGTATACTGAGTCGAAGTATGAATGGAATGGAATGGAAGTAACTATTGTTAATTGATAACACTTCCTGTATATATCTGAATGTCGAATTGAAGACCAAAGCAAGTGTTTTCTTCTTCTCAATTAGAAGTCTCTAAATAGATTCTGCTTCATAGAAATATAAAAACAAGTCGGCTAATAAAGAAGCACAATTAGTGCCTATCGAATTTCACAGTTTGTTGAAAGACCTGGTCTCCGAAAACTATGTTGATGTTGTCAATGAGGAACTCCAGTATCTTTTTAACATCAACCTCAAAGTACTTGTGTGTAGAATCAGAGTGATTTTTAACAAAGTAATTTTGTTGGTGACCAATCACAAGCTATGAAAATTTCAGAGTTCCGTGTTTATTGTCTATAATATTCTTTCGTTTCACGAAGTTTACCTGTCAAATTCAGATTAACTGCGTATTGACAACTTCGGAATGAACGGAGCCTGAACCCGATGTATATAAAACTATAATACGATAAACTACTAAAATATTTGTCAATGAGCAATTAACAAAAGAAATGAACAATAATTGATATAATTAAACTTTATTAATTTGATTTGTATATTATAATG